GGCTAGGGTGTGTGTTTGTACTTATCCAAAATTGTGTATTGTTATGTTCGTCTTTTTTATCCCTTGTCTGTACCCCCTTCCCTGACTTGGATTGTGAGCCGCCCTGAGTCCCCTTCGGGGAAAAGGGTGGCATATAAATGCAATAAATTCCAATTCCAACTCTCTCTGTCTTTTGCAAACCGTAAAATCGAGTCAGCCTAATTCTAACGGCCGCTTTATCTTACTTTTTCTACTGCAGGCCAAAGAGACGCCTTTAAAAACCATTCTGGAAATCATGGTGAGCTACTTCCTGGAGCTCCAGGGTAACCAAACCTTCCTGGGAAATTCCTCGTTTCTGGAAAACAAAGCCTGCCCCACAAGAAGTACGGAGAGTTTACCTCCCAAGAATTTCCTCTCTGGGGAAGCCACTCGAAGGCAGACGGCAGCTGAAAAATCTAAAAAAGGAACTCCCAGGTATATATGACTTTTCAGAATTTGAGCCTGAATCTTAACCAGTCATTAACTGCATAGAGAAAGTCATACAGTGCATACGGTGGTAATTAAACAAACACTCCTGTCACAAAGTGAATCCACGGTCTGCAATGGCTGATCTTGTTTTGTTTTTGGGCTGGAAAACGGAAGTACAGGTGGTCCTCGACTTACAAACACAATCAAACCCCAAATTTGTTTTTTTGCTAAGTGAGATGGTTTTTAAGTGAGTTTTTGGCCCCATTTCTTTTGTTCTTATTATTAGAAAATTAGAAATCTGTTATTTAAAAAAAACATCTCTTGATTTGGGAATTGGAAATTGATTGACTGACTGACCTCATGGCTACTAAGAAGAGAATGATGTCAAAGCACAGAAGGTAGCTAGGAGATCTGGACTTATTTCAATATGTTTCTGGTTGGCTTTGGGTCTTATAGGTGTTTTTTTAGGGGAGGGGGACAAAAGCAAGAGTGCAGAAACAGATTGTTATCATCTTTGCTTTCCTCATCTTAGTCTTGAATTTTAAGCTTCTAAATCCAGATTCCAATTCTGTATTGCCAAGTTGTCTCTAAACGAAATATTGACCAACCCAACCCTACTAGAGCCGAGGTGGCGCAGTGGTTAAATGCAGCACTGCAGGCTACTTCAGCTGACTGCAGTTCTGCAGTTCGGCTGTTCAAATCTCACCGGCTCAGGGTTGACTCAGCCTTCCATCCTTCCGAGGTGGGT